CCCCCCCCCCACAAGTCTGCCAGGCCCAAGGGAGGGCTTGAGCAGAGTTCCAGAAACGTGTCCAGTTGGCTTCATCTCGGCCCAGGAAGCAGCCCCCTGAAAGCCTCATCGATGCTCCCCCTTTGCTAGAAAACTAACCAGCTCAGTGCTGCCTTAGCCACACCCCCTCTGCTGTCCCCGTTAGCCAGACCCTCTATCTATTTCCTTTTCTCTCCCCATGTGCATGGCAACCCCAGAGTGGGGTTACCTACCCAGCCCCCTGAGTGCTCACAGGCCACCTGTCCTGGGCAGAACCCAGGCTCAGGGGCCTTCCTGCCTTTCCCATGTGTCCCCAGGACACCACCAATAAATTGGCACTGCAGAGCTAAAAATAGCAGCATCTGATGTGCCTCCATATATCCATGGCAACACAGGCTACAGCCTTTTCCTGCCGCTCTGGTGTCTGACGCTCAGCTCAGGCGCCAGGCCCTGGTGAATCTCGCCACCCCCACTGCCGGCTCTGGGAGGGCGCCGGGCAGTGCTGCCCATGATTACAGCGAGCTCCAGGTCCACTCACCCGGGGACCAGCCAGCCTGGGGACCCTCAGACTCACCTACGGCCTCCAGGGTCCCCAAGCCTGAGCTTTAAAGGAACATCCTTGTTTCTGGGGTAACGGGTGAATAAAGCAGGGACTGTCACTTTAGACATTCGAGAATTTCCCAGCAGAGATGCAAAGTGGTTTCCTGGGGAGGGAACACACATCTTGGAGGGACATTTCTCTCGGATGGGACGCCCCAACCTGGGCCCTGGCATGTGTCCAGGATTTAATCGGCTCCCTCCAGAGTCTGGCTTTCCATCCCCCTTTCCTGCCTCTTGCACAAGCTCCCCGAGGCTGCCAGGAAGAGAATGCCCGGGGGATGGGAGTAAAGCGAGGAAGCTGTGTGTCCTGCTGGACTGGGGTCATCTTGCCCTGAGTCAGGGGGATAGAGTAAGTGGCCCAGGGAGAGCAGCCTGCCAGCCCACCTGGCATCTGGAGAGAAGGTGGAGGGATGGTGCCGTTCTTTGCAAAGGGGCCTGAACTAGGTGGAAGGACCTGACATTCTGAAGGGATCCAGAATGATGGGGTTTTCTTCAAAACAAACCCGAGCCGGTGGGGACTGCGGGCCATTGCCCTCTGGGGGATCAGTGGGCACAGATGTCAACTGCTTTGGCTCACCCCCGGATCTGCAGGAAGGGGAGATGGGCCTTCTTACTGCTGTACTGTAACTCCCTCAACCCCGACAACCTCTATTCTGATTTCTGGTTTCTTTTAAGAAGCCCTTTAACACAGATGTGTTTGCCCGAGCTCCTGGGAACTGAAGGGGAAAAGGTGTTATGGTTTCACCACTTCCATCCCAGCAGCAGAACAAACCCGATCAAGTTTCTGGAACACCCAGACCTCTTGCCCTTTGCCAAAGGCTTCTTGGTGCTGAGGGTTCGGCCCACTCGTAAAACCAGCTGAGTGTGGAAACCCTAATCCTGAGGGTACCCCACATCTGCCTTCCCCAGCTCCAAGCTATTTGCATCCTAAACTCAAAAAGGCACCTGAGTGTCTCCCAGTAGCTTTTTTTCCCTTTGGCTAAGAGCTACTCATAGAAATGCAAATCTGGTTTAATTAAGGTGGCTAATAAACAGCAATTAGGTTTGCAGCGATTTTTGTTTTGTTCCCAGCATAATTTTACCTGTCCTCAGATACCTTTCTCTGCCTTCCTTGCTTCTGTTGCCTGCCACCTGAGCCCCTGCCTTCCCAAGGATTGGGAAGGGGGCACAGGGGCCTCTCCCCTTTTACCCCTTGTTTCAACTGCCCACCCAGCCAGGAAGGGGGCTGCACAAATGACTGAACTAGCAGCTCCTCCATTCCCCTTCCACTGCCTGGAGGGCATGAGGCAGGAAAGCCTCGGGGTGGATGAAAGGCAGGAAGCACCGCTGGACTTCAGGTAGACCCGCTAGGCTGTCTGATACGCTAATTGAGACAGGTGCTCCAGGACTGGGACACTTCACACACGCACAAGCACACACACACTCACACACATGCACGGACTAGGTGAGATGTTGGGGTCGGCTTTGGAGCCATGATCTCACCTGGGCCACCTGGGGTCTCCTGAGACATGGGTGAGAGGAAGGCTGTGGACGTGCCTGGCGCATTGGCATTGCCCCCGTCCAGGGTGATTCCCCCACCGGCAGAGGAACACACCCGGTTTGTTAGGCAACGGCGCCCTCTACTGGAGACCTGAGACAATGGCTTGAAATGGAACAGCTGGCTAAGGTGGAGGTGCCATCCTCTAGCACCCCTGTACCCCGGCCTCCCTGACAGCTCCCCCACTTCCTTCCCTGGCTGACCACCTCCTCCATAAAGCGTGTCCTATCCGCCAGGCAGAGCTATTCTCTCTCCTCTGAGCCCGTTAGCACTTCATCTGTGGTCCCAACACTCTCTTCCCTCCTCTGGCTCTTTTGGCTGGTTGAGTAATCAAATCGATTTGTGACAGATGAACAAGAGAAAGTAACCAAATTTAATTACATACGTGCATATGGGAACTCCACATCCACGAGAGAGGGACAGAAAGGAAAACATAGGTCAAAATATTATCCCTGATAATGTCTCACTTTAGGGAAGGCCCCTAATTTAAATTCTTATAGGCAGTTACGGGGAGGGGGTGTTTCTTTGAGCCTGCACACCACAGTAGCACATGTTGGGGTGACTCATTCTGAACCCCTACATTTCTTCTGGGCCTTCTGACTTAGAAGCATCGCTCATGACCCTTAAGAGGTTCATGACTGACGCCTCGCTCTTCACCTTGTACACAGAAGCCTTCGGGGAATGTCTGCTGAATGACCGACATAGAGGAAACTTTGGAGCCCACCCACGAGGGGCCCAGCCAGGGACCTGCCCTTCCCAAGTGAGTCCCTGACGTGATGCTGTTCTCCCCACAGGCCCCCCCATCATCTCCAGCACCCAGACCCAGCACGCCCTCCACGGAGAGAAAGGCCAGATCAAGTGCTTCATCCGGAGCACACCACCGCCGGACCGCATAGTGAGTGCTCCGGGGAGGCCACGGGGATTGCAGCGCAGCGCGCAGATGTGGGCGCTGGGAAGCCCGGGCCTCCTCCCCTCGGCCGGGAAGCCATTCCCACTTGCTCTCTCAGGGAGGCATCAGGAAGACAAAATCACAGGGTCTCTTTTCCTACTGCCAGGGCCCGTCTGCAAGTGTATTTAACGCCTCGCACATTGAGCTGGGCGCCAGCATCGATGGTCCTAACAGAATTCCGCATCCGGGGAGCAGAGGAGCAAGTGGGGGGAGCAGAAGGAAAAGAAAGATACACGATTCCTCACTTTCCTGGGTTCGAGGCCAGTTCTTGCAAATCCTGCGCAGAGTGCAGCTTATAGCAGGCAAACCCCTTTCTGCACCTCCCGAGGCCCCTCCTCGGCCTCTACCCATGGAGAATGAACACTGCCTCATTGATGCGATTTTCCCCTCGAAAGCGCCATTCCATTCCCCCTCCCTTTCTCTGATCCCTGCACAGTGCCGCTAAGGCCACCTGGGTTCACACGGAGCCCTCCCAGGCATCTGCACTTGTGAAAGGGAGCCTTCCACCCCCACCCACCTGAAACTGGTTGGGAGCCCAGGCACAAAACCACTGCGCAGCACTGAGGGGCAGGTATTAGTAGTAGTAAGCCCCAACGCTGAGGACAGTCCTGCTAGAAGATAGTCCTGAGCCAACTCCGAGGGGCAGTTCTGCCCTTCATGGTCCAGTGGTGCCAGGGAGGGCGTGGGGACATGCACAGGGCCGGGACACTGAGGCTGCCAAGCTCAGGGTGCCATTCTGGACATGAGGTATTACTAGAGCAGTATTGCTGTTAAACACTTTCTCGGGCATTCAGTTAATTCACTGTCGGAAAGATTCACACAAAAAGCAAGAATTCACACATAGAACTATGTCTCCCCGTTCCTGTCACTCTTTCATTTTTTTAATTATAAGCGCAGCACATGCCCTTTGTAGAAGAGCCCGTCCACTCAGCATAGCCACACAGTCTTCCCCTTCATAGATGCGTAACTCTAACCAGCAGTTCTCAAGGGGGCATTTCGGCCCCCAGGGGATTTTTGGCATTGTCTGGAGACACCGTTGGCTGTCACAGCCGGAGGGGGCTGATGGCTCCTGAGTAACAATCCTATAATGCACATCCTATAATGCACAGGAAGGCCCTGCAACCAAGAATGTCAACAGTGCTGAGCTGGAGCAGCCACATGACCACATTCTCACATACCTGAATGACCACATTCTCACAGACCAGGAGCAAATGGCATGCAAGGGGCCTCCCGTGCAAGCGACACCGCTCTGAGAAAAATTCAAGTATCACACTTAGAAACTGAGATAGATTAAGCTGATCACAAGCACAACTCTTGGAACACACTGTTGTACAGACAAGACATAAACGTAACAAAACTAGACCCAGCCTCTCTGGAGCTGGTCCCCTGCCTCCAGTGACCAGGTGGCAGCGCCATACTGGCGGGAGCATCTGGGAGAGACACTGGCACAGGCCATCCGTTGGGGGGGTGGGCAGGGAGGACTGGTCACTGCCACAGAGTCCCCTGCTGGCTGGAAAGGTGTTCAGGGCAGGTCCACATAAGGACCCCTTCTCGAAGGAAATGCTGACCTCTGTGTATACGTACATGTGTGTACACGGGTTGGTACTGTATGGGGTGGGGTGCTGTGTGCATGTGTTGTGGCTTTTCACATGTGTTTATGTGTGTAGTGTGTACACGTTTGTGGTGTGATGTGTGTGGTGTGTGCAAACATTTTTGGTGTGTGTTGGGATGTGTTTATGTGTTTGTGGTGTGATGTATGTGGTGTATGGACATGTTTATGGTGTATTGTGATGTATGTACAGGTGTAAGCATGTGTGTACATGTGTTTGTGGTGTGATGTGTGTGGTGCGTGCACACTTTTGGGGTGTGATGAGATGTGCATGTACTTATATGTACATGTGCCAGTGCTGGTGACAGCGGGCATGCATGGGAGCCTGGCAGTGTCAGCCCTAGAGCACGAGGCAGCAAGGTGGTCCCGGTGTGGATGGCTGGGTGGGCTCTCCTCCTAATTCTGGCACCCCGGGCAGGCCTGGTCCTGGAAGGAGAATGTGCTGGAGTCCGGGACGTCGGGGCGCTACACAGTGGAGACGGTCAGCACAGAGGAGGGTGTCATCTCCACCCTCAGCATCAGCAACATCGTGCGGGCCGACTTCCAGACCATCTACAACTGCACCGCCTGGAACAGCTTCGGCTCTGACACCGAGATCATCCGGCTCAAGGAGCAAGGTGGGAGCAGCAGGCCCTCCCCACCCAGGGCAGGGCCCCATGCAAGATCTCCAGGGGTCCTGAGGGAAAGAATGCCGAGTGACAGTGATGGCTACGAGTGGGCTGGGGCCCGAGGACAAGTGGCAGTGTTCCTGCTCACCTGCCATGGCGCCCCGGGCAGGTGGGTGGAAGTTGTCCTCCTGGGGGCCCTTGGCCCAGCTCCCCTGAGGCCAGGGCCCTGCCCATACCAGGAAGCCAGAGGGTTCAAAGGCTGCTTAGGGAGGTGGCCCTACTGATGTTTCAGGGAAAGGTGACCACAGATGGAGCCAAGTTAGCTGCTGTGATGAGCCGCCAGCACCTTCTAAAGGCCCCGACTTGTCTGACTCAGCATTCCCCTGGTGGGCCCTGCTCTGGTGCCAGAGTGTCCTCAGGGGTGTGTGACCTGCTGAGGGGCAGCCCGGGGCCCTGGAGGGACACAGGGATACCCCAGGGTGGACTTGTTAGGGAGTCTGACCTAGCCAGTTAACAAGACAAGCCAGTCCAGACACCCAAAAGTCCCCCAGGGCCACCCAAGCAGAGCTAAAGGGAAGCGATTGAGCTGCCCCAACCGCTGGGAAGGGGGGTCCGGGGGCTCAGACCCACTGCTGTTGCCCTGGGACATGGGAGATTCATGGGGTTACTCTGAGCTGAAGGCGGGGGGACAGAGCAGGGAGGGTGAAGACTCAACCCACTGTGACCCCGGGTGCAGACTGCCCAGCTCCTGGTCAGGAACTCCAGCCTCTGCTCAAAGGTCTCACGCAGAACAGAGGGCGTGGAGCCTGGGAGGGCGCAGAGTGGGACAGGAGGAGCTGGGCACAGCAGCAGCACTCCCGGTCCTGAGAGGGCTGCAGACCTTGCCCTTTTGCCAGGTCCAGGGGGCCTTACTCAGCCCGGGCACTCTGACCCCTCCAAGACGAAGTGCACCCACATGCTGTCAGACCCTGGCAAAGGTTCTGGGCGAAGCCGGTGTCCCGGTTGACCCCTCTGGCCCCAAGGACCCTGCAGGTCACAGTGTCTCCCCACACCTCTTCCCTGATAAGTGCTGCTTTGCATAATGCTTTGCATATAATTTGCATAACATCATCCACACATCATCCCAAACCTCCAGTCCCTGCTGCTTCCCCTCCATGTCTTCCCCTTGGTGCCCAACCCCCATGCTCTCC